TATCAGCAGACACAGCATCAGCAGACACAGCATCAGCAGACACAGTATTAGCAGACGCATTATCAGCAGACACATTATCAGCAGACACAGCATCAGCAATAGTAGCAGCACCAACAGTAGAAACATTAGCATGATCAGTAGTAAATACAGGAACTGGTGCCAGACGTAAAGGTAGACGTATGAGACGTAAAGAAAGACGTAGATGGAGATGTAATTTTAAGAACACTAACCACACCACTATATTTGTTCGGCAACACCACCAGCACCACCACCACCACCTTTTCTGACCACCATCACCAAAATCACCCCCACTACCACCACCAACATGCTCTAGCAACCTCCTCAGTGGACCAAGGATCATATATTGGCAGCCAACTTGCCTCTGCGTCCTCAGATACCACAAGCTGCTCTCTCAGTTTACTGATCTGTAAACAGCCAGGGATTTCTGTGTCGTGTGTGTCGCCCTGTGTCTGGGGATTTAGAATGCTGAGGATGGCAGGTTTCGTGCGGCTGAGAGATGGCTCGTCGCTGAGAATTGCTAAGATTTGAGAGGTGACTTACGTGTGTGTGTGTTGTGTGTGTGTGTGGTGTGTGTTTGAAGTAGTGAAACCACACTACATAGTTTCAAATGTAGATATGATTGTGCTTAAGTGACAAGGAACCAACGCCAATTGGTTGTACTTTAAGAGAAGCACCTAGGAGCCGAGATTTGACCTCTCACAAGCATAACTCGGCAATACAAAACTCTTAACTACTGATCAAAGCAACCTTCAGTCGCAAGGAAATGCTATAGAATAAGAGAACGTTGATGGAAGTGGTGGTGAAAAACACATCAGGAATATCACAAGAGAGGAGAAGCCAGCAAGTCTGGATCTGGTCTTCACACTAAATGAAACCATTAGCTTGTGCTCAACTCACAGAGAGGATTCTAACCCGTGACAAACCAGTCCTAACACTATCCTTCCAGTTCTTTAACCGCTATACGATCCTAGCCAAAAAAAAAAAATCCTCCTAGACCTATATACGTATATTTCTATACGCTAGGAGGGTCAGCATGGACTGCACTGTAACAACACAAGGAAGCTATTTACTCTCATATTTTGCGATATTCTCACTTCTTTTGAGTTTTTTCAAACATTTTTAAAAGAATCTTTCATCAGTATATCTGTGGCAAGATCAAACTCAAGGTCTGAGTCCCTGGTTAAAGTGAAACAGGAGAGGAATATACGAGAAGAATATAAATGGGGAATACATGAGAGGAAAATAGGGGAATACAGGAGGAAGTGAAGCAAAACTGACTATAGAAGTTACTATGTAAAGACGAGAATTTATGAACCAGGTTGGTAAAGGAAGTGGATGAAAGACAAGGAAAGATAAGATGGAAAGAAACCTGTGAACGTAATAACCAATGAGAAGAACAGACAGAACCTGCGCTTCACTCAGACCTGTGCATTTTAAATACTATTTTTTTTTTCTAATTACCGAGGTGACTGTTGAGACCTCGGCAAATTTTTAGTTTATTTTTTTACTGAGAGAGCGTTATAAACTTTCTGTATGTATACATGTATTTTGTTTATACGCATGTATTTTGTATATATATATATGCATGTATTCTGTATATATGCATATATTTTGTATATATGCACGTGTTATATGTACAGGTATTTAAATACATTCCCGTATTTAGAATTTCATAATCTTTAACTAATCACCGAGTTATTTGTGGGGTGATCCTTTATGGTGGTAATAATGTTAATTGATTTTAACGTGTATATGTATGACAGTGCATTATTTATATATGTATGGTACTGTGTATGTTCTGTCTGTGTGTGTTGAGTGACCATTGGGACCCAGTACACGACAACTTGCAATACGCTATTCTCTCACCACCTATCCTTCCCTAACCCCTCTCCCCTTTCCTAAGCCCCCATCCCCACTCCATCACAGAAGTCAACATAGATTTAGAACAGGACAGTCACTCATGTCACATAACTGCTAGATCGTTGTAGCAAAATCACTGAGATTTGGTAAGAAAAACAAGGATGTTGCATAATCATTTAGAAAATACAGTAACAGCCCGTTAACAGAGATTAACGTGTATAACAGGAACAGTGGGTTAACGAAGATTAACACTTCTAACAGAACGCAAAGATTGGAAGTAAATAACGTCAGGTTTCGGCAGTTAAAGACACAAAGTGAAGAGTATTTTTTTTTCAACGCACCGGCAGTATCCCACCGAGGCAAGGTGACCTAAAAAGAAAAACGAAAGTTCCTAACATGCGACTAACATGCTCCCGGCATGTTAGTCGCCTCCTACGACACGCATGGCTTACGGAGGAAGAATTCTGTTCCACTTCCCCATGGTAGTGGTGTAATGTCATACCTTATTAACAAGATTTCGCCCACACAGTGGGTAGATCTGTTTGTGACTCCATAATGCCGTCTGTGTGGGCGAAACGTTGTCAGTAAGGATCACATTTGCTGCATTTCTCTTTATCCACCTTCGCCAATTGCCAGATCGTGCGCCATTGGTCCGCCAACAGCAACCGTCTGTTGGCGGACCACTGGCCCACGAGAGCTTGGCCCAAAGCCGGGCTGATAGTATGAAAAAAAAAAACTCGAAGCTTGTCATAGGTATATCCCTCCCCCCTTTCACCACTACTCTCCGCCCCTCACCACTACTCTCCGCCTCTCACCACTGCTCTCCGCCCCTCACCACTACTCTCCGCCCCTCACCACTACTCTCCGCCTCTCACCACTGCTCTCCGCCCCTCACCACTACTCTCCGCCCCTCACCACTACTCTCCGCCTCTCACCACTGCTCTCCGCCCCTCACCACTACTCTCCGCCCCTCTCCACTACTCTCCGCCTCTCACCACTACTCTCCGCCCCTCACCACTACTCTCCCCCCCTCACCACTACTCTCCGCCCCTCACCACTACTCTCCGCCCCTTCACCACTACTCTCCGCCCCTCACCACTACTCTCCGCCTCTCACCACTACTCTTCGCCCCTCACCACTACTCTCCGCCCCTCATCACTACTCTCCACCCCTCACCACTACTCTCCGCCCCTCACCACTACTCTCCGCCTCTCACCACTATCCGCCTCTCACCACTCCTCTCCACCCCTCACCACTATCTTCCGCCCCTCACCACTACTCTCCGCCCCTCACCACTACTCTCCGCCCCTCACCACTACTCTCCGCCCCTCACCACTACTCTCCACCCCTCACCACTACTCTCCGCCCCTCACCACTACTCTCCGCCCCTCATCACTACTCTCCACCCCTCACCACTACTCTCCGCCCCTCACCACTACTCTCCGCCTCTCACCACTATCCGCCTCTCACCACTCCTCTCCACCCCTCACCACTACTCTCCGCCCTCACCTACTCTCCGCCCCTCACCACTACTCTCCGCCCTCACCACTACTCTCCGCCCCTCACCACTACTCTCCACCCCTCACCACTACTCTCCGCCCCTCACCACTACTCTCCGCCCCTCACCACTACTCTTCGTCTCTCACCACTACTCTCCGCCCCTCACCACTACTCTCCGCCCCTCACCACTACTCTTCGTCTCTCACCACTACTCTCCGCCCCTCACCACTACTCTCCGCCCCTCATCACTACTCTCCGCCTCTCACCACTACTTTCCACCCCTCACCACTACTCTCCGCCTCTCACCACTACTTTCCGCCCCTCACCACTACTCTCCGCCCCTCACCACTACTCTTCGTCTCTCACCACTACTCTCCGCCCCTCACCACTACTCTCCGCCCCTCACCATACTCTCCGCCCTCACCATTACTCTCCACCCTCACCCACTACTCTCCGCCCCTCACCACTACTCTCCGCCCTCACCACTACTCTCCGCCCCTCACCACTACTCTCCGCCCCTCACCACTACTCTTCGTCTCTCACCACTACTCCCCGCCCCTCACCACTACTCTCCGCCCCTCACCACTACTCTCCGCCTCTCACCACTACTCTCCACCCCTCACCACTACTCTCCGCCCATCACCACTACTCTTCGTCTCTCACCACTACTCTCCGCCTCTCACCACTACTCTCCACCCCTCACCACTACTCTCCGCCCCTCACCACTACTCTCCGCCCCTCACCACTACTCTCCGCCTCTCACCACTACTCTCCACCCCTCACCATACTCTCCGCCCATCACCACTACTCTTCGTGTCTCACCACTACTCTCCGCCCCTCACCACTACTCTCCGCCCCTCACCACTACTCTTCGTGTCTCACCACTAATCTCCGCCTCTCACCACTACTCTCCGCCCCTCACCACTACTCTCCGCCCCTCACCACTACTCTTCGTCTCTCACCACTACTCTCCGCCCCTCACCACTACTCTCCGCCCCTCACCACTACTCTTCGTCTCTCACCACTACTCTCCGCCCTCACCACTACTGTCCGCCTCTCACCACTACTTTCCACCCCTCACCACTACTCTCCGCCTCTCACCACTACTTTCCGCCCCTCACCACTACTCTCCGCCCCTCACCACTACTCTCGTCTCTCACCACTACTCTCCGCCCCTCACCACTACTCCCCGCCCCTCACCACTACTCTCGCCTCTCACCACTACTCTCCACCCCTCACCACTACTCTCCGCCCATCACACTACTCTTCGTCTCTCACCACTACTCTCCGCCTCTCACCACTACTCTCCACCCCTCACCACTACTCTCCGCCCCTCACCACTACTCTCCGCCCCTCACCACTACTCTCCGCCTCTCACCACTACTCTCCACCCCTCACCACTACTCTCCGCCCATCACCACTACTCTTCGTGTCTCACCACTACTCTCCGCCCCTCACCACTACTCTCCGCCCCTCACCACTACTCTTCGTGTCTCACCACTAATCTCCGCCTCTCACCACTACTCTCCGCCCCTCACCACTACTCTCCGCCCCTCACTACTACTCTCCGCCCCTCACTACTACTCTCCGCCCCTCACCACTACTCTCCGCCCCTTCAGACCGACCGGACGGGGGCCCGATAATTACAGGTGGTCGTCGTGAGTACCTGCTAGGTGAGGGTGTGGAGGTGTACTGCACCTCACGCAGAGCACGACCTCCACCCCACCTCTCCTTCAGTGTCAACAGTCAGCCGGTGAGTACCCCCACCACTTCTCTCTTGTAAAACTCTAGGTGTTGTCCCTTAGAAATATACTTGGTATACAGCTCTTGTCCCATTGTAATACTGTTGGAACACAGCTCTTGTCCCCTTGGAAAATACATACTTAACACTTGTTCCGTCTGCCGCAGGCGTCACCAGGGTGGCTGGAGCCGCAGGTTGACGAGGGTGAGGCGGGGGGACTGACTACCTCTTTCCTGCGTCTGCGGTTTCCGCTACTGCCGCACCTCCTCAGAGGCGGTGAGGTGCGGCTGAGGTGCGTCGCTGATCTTCCTGGAGTGTACCAGCTGGAGACGTATGAGGTGCTCTCTACCACACCCCCCTACCACGCCTCTGTTCTGGGGGGCGGAGCTGCAGGTCTGTGTCTGGGGTGCCACGCCCCCATATATATATATATATATATATATATATATTATATATATATATATATATATATATATATATATATATATATATATATATATATATATATATATATATATATATATAATGTCGTGCCGAATAGGTAAAGCTTGCGATTTTGGCTTAAATAGCAAAGCTTTTCTTGCCGAATAAGGCAAGCGAAAATTTGTGTATGCAGTAATTTCGCAAAAATCATTCTGACCCTAACGAAAAAAAATATATTTCATTGTGTTTCTCATTAAATTATTGTAAACTAATCGAAAATATATTTAGTTGGATTACATTAAATTAAATTGCGCTAGGTAACTTTTCTAAGGCTCTTTTGGTACAAAATTATTAATTTTTACATTAACATAAATGAAAAAAATATATCTTTAAACGTAAAAGAGAAAATTTTTAGAAAGAACTTAATTTTAAATGAGTTCTTTCTAACTGACCAATATATATATATATATATATATATATATATATATATATATTATTATATATTATATATATATATATATATATATATTGCGTGTGTGTGTGTGTGTGTGTGTGTGTGTGAGAGAGAGAGAGAGAGAGAGAGAGAGAGCGAGAGGCTATGGGTGAACGAGAGTATAAATCACTAGACAGGGACATAGTAGCATGGTAAACCACTTGGTAATAAACTTCAATCTTCAACTTGTCGGTTTTTAAACCACTTATCACACTTGGTAATACTTATAATCGTAACCATGATTTTTAAAGAGGTGGACCGGTAAGCCAGCGGAAGGCCTTGGTCAGATGACCAAAAGCTCCAACTGTGGGTCATCATGTGACTAAGACTTACGTCAGGAAACACTTGTCCTCTTTTCTGACAAACATTATACCTATAGTAGCATGGTAGATAGACTTGTAGATGAAAGGTATATATATATATATATAAAGTGGTATATACCATGTTGACATACAAGTGTAGGTGTTACCGATTAAATAATGGTAGATAATATGAAATACTTCTTGTTCTGACGTTATTATAAGGTTGCTGGTAGATGAGAGTAGATTTTACAGACTAGATGTAGACGTACTGCTGGATAATTAAAAATGTGTGTGGAAGTTGGTCTGATACTTCTCTTCTCTCTTTTTCTCAGGTCTGAGATCAACTGTCGTGTTTGCTGAACTGTTCCAGCTCCTGTTGCTACTGCTGCTTGCTATAGTGGTCTTCCAGCGCCATTAAACTATATCTGTGTCATCTCCAGCATCCCCCAGTCACCTACAGCATCTCCCAGCCACCTCCAGCATCCCCCAGTCACCTCCAGCATCCCCCAGTCACCTCCAGCAAACCTCAGTCACTTCCAGCATCCCTGCGTCACCTCCAGCATCCCCCAGTCACCTTCAGCAAACCCCAGTCACCTCCAGCATCCCCCAGTCACCTCCAGCAAACCCCAGTCACCTTTGGCAAACCCCAGTCACCTCCAGCATCCCCTTGTCACCTCCAGCATCGCCCAGTCACCTCCAGCATCCCTGCGTCACCTCCAGCATCCCTGCGTCACCTCCAACCCCCCCCAGTAACCATTAGCATCCCTCATCTCAAGCATCCCTTAGTTATTCCTGGGTCACTTCTATCCGCCATTTCCAGCATTCATCTCTAGCATTCATCTCCAGCATCCATCAGCCATCCCTGAGTCATCTCCAGTATCCCTGAGTCATCTCCAGTATCCCTGAGTTATCAAGTCATTTCCAGCGTCCATAACTAATCCCTGGGTCATTGCCACCATCGCTGTATCATCCCTGAGTCATTTCCAGCATTTCTCAATCGTTGTCATCATCCTTGAGTCACTGTCACCATCCCTGAGACGTTGTCCCAATCCCTGGGTCATTATCACTATTTCTGAGTCACTGGCACCATCCCTGAGTCATTGTCATCATCCCCGAGTCACTGTCACAATCCCTGAGTCATCTACATCTCCAAAAGTTTTCTCCACCTTTCTCTCTCTCTCTCTCTCTCTCTCTCTCTCTCTCTCTCTCTCTCTCTCTCTCTCTCTCTCTCTCTCTCCCACAGACGCAGGAATAAGGCTGAGCCAGTCAGGCTTCCGGTAGGAGGGTAGCCAGCGGCCCGCCCTCAGCTTCATTTGCATACCGGAAAAAGCAAATCAGAAGGCGCTCATCCGTGCAATCACGAAGCACGGATCTTGGTTAGCAGTGGCACGAATCTTGGCTAGCAGTGCCACAGATACCAGCTAGCAATGGTACGGATCCTGGCAAGCAGTGGCACGGATGCTAGCTAGCAGTGGCACGGATCCTGGCTAGCAGTGGCACGGATGCTAGCTAGCAGTAGTACGGATCCTGACTAGCAGTGGCATGGATCCTTACTAGTAGTGGCACTGATCCTGACTAGTAGGAGCCACAGATCCTAGCTAGCAGGAGCCATAGATTCTGGCTATCATAAGGCACGGATCCTGACTAGCAGTGGCACGGATCCTGGCTAGCAGTGGCACGGATCCTGGCTAGCAGTGGCACGGATCCTGGCTAGCAGGTGCCACGGATCCTCATAATTTACGTAGAAACTTATTACAATAAACTACAAAAGAAATTTAAATAAAAAACGCAGATATCTTTCTAATATATTGGTACAGTAAAATCATGACTGTGTATGTGTGTGTGTGTGTGTGCGTGTGTGTGCGTGTGTCTGTGTGTGCGTGCGCGTGTGGATGAGATAGTGAGAGAGAGAGAGAGAGATTGTATATTACCATCTCCACCTGAGGTTCTCTTCGACTACCTTCATCACACAAAGGTAACACTGCTCAGAGATCTACAGAGTCCTGCCCAGGATTCTTCTGCCTTAACTCTCACCACTTCCGAGTCAAATCATTACTGACCCACATAACTGACTTCATCTATTTAACAATGTAATTAATGATGTCCTAGACTTTCTCAAGGCATGCCTTTCCAAAATCAGTTGGCCTTCGCCAAGATTACATAACCCACGTTATATATCCACAACATTATATATTCCACAACATTATATATACCACAACATTATCGCCACCAATGCCATTATGTAAACAAATAATTAGATGAAACAAAGTCAGGCCTATATGACCAGTACTCACCTAACTGTACTTGCCTAACTGTAGTTGCAAGGATCGATTCATAGTTCCTTGCAACCTCTACTCGCAAGACGATGAATATGCACTCCTTCCCACCATGTAACACACGGGCATTGCTTCAGATACGTGGATTATATATATACTGTATTTTCCGGCATATAAGGCGCACGATCATACGACATATAAGGCAGTGTTTCCAAGCAACAACTGCTAAAGCGTAACCCAATGGCTACCTTTGACCCTGACCTTGAGCATATAAGGCGCAGAGTGATTTCACAAGACTTTTTGTGGGTGAGAAAAGCCCGTCTTATATGCCGGAAAACACGATATTCACCCCACGGGTAGACGAATGGAGCCCTTTACACTTCCCAGAAGGTCTGTCAACTGCTTCATTCTATGCAGTTCAAAGGTGAATGGGAAAGTCACAATCACATACCTTCTGGACACTGAAAACAAAAATCTTGCATTCTACAATCACGGGAAACACACGGTTAACTACCAACATTTCTTCAGCAACAACTCGACACATAAAAAAAAAAGAGATCAGAATCAAGTCTTTATCTTTGAGCCGTCAAATCTATAGTCCGTCTCGAATCGAAGAAGAAAATATATCAAGACCCATTTCTTAAAACTAGAATACCCAGAATGATTTACTCACAAATGTGTAAATTTAGCCAACAACTCTACTACAAATCAGTCAGTCCAAACACTACAACCTGTCATGACTGACTCAGAAACCCCCTTAACCAAAATATAAAGAAGACAGTATAGAACATAGTCACCATCGCCCCTGTTTAATCCAACAAATTTAGTGACAACAACAACAACACAGCACCAGAATCGCACATACCAGGGTGGTCAGTAACAGTAAAATTTCGTACCTTGTATATTAAGGATATTTAATATAACACAGTTATGGTATTTTTTCCGAAAGGGGATAACTAGATTAAAAATTGAGTTTTTGTTGTTAAGATTTAGAATTTTATTCTAGTAGTGAAATATTAGTCAGTCTCTTAGATATCTGGCTCTTACAGACATTTTGTTTAATTTTTAAGGTAAAAGTTTAAGATATGTCTACTGAGTCCCCTGTAAGGATTGTCATCAAAAATGCAAGGGACAGACGGGGAGACTTCTGCAAGCACCAATCATCGAACACTGAAGATCCATCAAATACTGACACGAGAGCTCAAATTTCAATACATAAAAAGTAAATCACACTTTCTACGGTAGCGGGGCCACCATTGTGCACGAAATAGGTTACGACTACAAAATAAAAATGACAGAAGTAGCTGATACTGACTCGAGCCTCAATGTCAACGTTCCCAGATCATTTTTTTTAATAAGCAGAGAGTTTTAGTAAGGTGTTCTTAAAGAGTATGTTGTTAACTATTTCAGTGAGGACCTGATGGAATATAGAGATATGCCACTAAAACAGTACATTCCAGCACCTCAACACAAATCTGAGATGAATCACCTCACTCCCTCCCGGCTCATGAACATTTCTTAATCCCTCTCTCGTCACCACCAAGTTCATATCTTCATCTGCCCCTATGATATGTTTCCTCCTCACTTATATATCTGCTGAAGAGGATCTCAGCTCAAGATCGAAATATACAGCTCCTCACTCTCAGTGTTGATGCCTGCAATGGTTCATTATTCATCTTTTTTTCATATATATATATATATATATATATATATATATATATATATATATATATATATATATATATATATATATATATATTATATATATTATAATATACACTAAAGAGAGCGGATACTGGAACGATGACAGAAAGTGAAATATGTAGACTGTTAAGGAAATGGGTATGAGAAGTGTAGGGAATTGTGAGTGGGTGATGGTGAGTGGGGTGATGGTGAGTGGGGTGATGGTGAGTGGGGTGATGGTGAGTGGGGAAAATATTGAGTGTGAAGGTGAGTGGGAGAATGGAGAGGAGTATTTCCTTTCTTGATCTTCAATATTCACAAAGTGGAATATTTCTCAATTAATTTATTTTAAAACAATAAAAAATGAGTGATTATAATTTAAAAAAAAGTGAATAAAAAAGCCAGCAATTTGAAACAATTTGTTTTTTACTGGTTAATAATTGTTAAAGTTTAATATAATTATGATAATTTATACAAATATTGAATTTCATTATGTACTTTTATGTATTAGTATGTAGTAGTACATATTAGTATGTAATGGTATGTAACTAGCCAGTTAGTTACGTGTGTGTGTTGGTGTGTGTGTGATGTGTGTGTGTGTGTGTGTTTTGTGTGGGGTGGTGTGTGTGTGTGTGTGATGTGTGTGGTGTGTGTGTGTGTGTGTGTGTGTGTGTGTGTGTGTGTGTGTAGTGTGTGTGTGTGTGTGTGTGTGTGTGTGTGTGTTGTGTTGTATAGTGTGTGTAGGTGTGTGTGTAGTGTGTTGTGTGTGTGTGTGTGTGGTGTAGGGGTGTGTAGTGGGTGTGTGTGTGTGTGTGTGTGTGTGTGTGTGTGTGTAGTGTGTGGTGTGTGTGTGTGTGTGTGTAGGTGTGTGTAGTGTGTGTAGTGTGTGTGTGTGTGTGTGTGTGTGTGTGTGTGTGTGTGTAGTGTGTGTAGTGTGTGTAGTGTGTGTGTGTGTGTGTGTGTGTGATGTGTGTAGTGTGTGTGTGTGTGTGTGTGTAGTTGTGTGTGTGTGGGTGTGTGTAGTGTGTGTAGTGTGTGTGTGTGTGTGTGTGTGTGTGTGTGTGTGAGTGTGTGTAGTGTGTGGGGTGTGTAGTGTGTGTGTGTGTGTGTGTGTGTGTGTGTGGTGTGGTGTGTGTGTGTGTGTGTGTGTGTGTGTGTGTGTGTGTGTGTGTGTGTGTGTGTGTGTGTGTGTGTGTGTGTGTGTGTGTGTGTGTGTGTGTGTGTGTGTGTGTGTAGTGTGTGTAGTGTGTGTAGTGTGTGTGTGTGTGTGTGTGTGTGTGTGTGTGTGTAGTGTGTGTGTGTGTGTGTGTGTGTGTGTGTGTAGTGTGTGTGTGTGTGTGTGTGTGTGTGTGGTGTGTGTGTGTGTAGTGTGTGTAGTGTGTGTAGTGTGTGTGTGTGTGTGTGTGTGTGTGTGTGTGTGTAGTGTGTGTAGTGTGTGTAGTGTGTGTGTGTGTGTGTGTGTGTGTGTGTGTGTGTGTTGTAGTGTGTGTAGTGTGTGTGTGTGTGTGTGTGTGTGTCTGTGTCTGTTTTACAAACTCTTAAAATCCGAATTGTTGGTCATTGAATGAAAAGTATTTGTGACTACCACCATTATGACGTCTGCATACCCCTTTTATCATACCCCCTTTTATCATACCCCCTTTTATCATACCCCCTTTTATCATACCCCCTTTTATCATACCCCTTTTATCATACCCCTTTTATCATACCCCCTTTTATCATACCCCCTTTTATCATACCCCCTTTTATCATACCCCCTTTTATCATACCCCCTTTTATCATACCCCCTTTTATCATCCCCTTTTATCATACCCCCTTTTATCATACCCCCTTTTATCATACCCCTTTTATCATACCCCCTTTTATCATACCCCCTTTTATCATACCCCCTTTTATCATACCCCCTTTTATCATACCCCTTTTATCATACCCCTTTTATCATACCCCCTTTTATCATACCCCCTTTTATCATACCCCTTTTATCATACCCCCTTTTATCATACCCCCTTTTATCATACCCCTTTTATCATACCCCCTTTTATCATACCCCTTTTATCATACCCCCTTTTATCATACCCCCTTTTATCATACCCCCTTTATCATACCCCCTTTTATCATACCCCCTTTTATCATACCCCCTTTTATCATACCCCCTTTTATCATACCCCCTTTTATCATACCCCCTTTTATCATACCCTTTTATCATACCCCCCTTTTATCATACCCTTTTATCATACCCCCTTTTATCATACCCCCTTTTATCATACCCCCTTTTATCATACCCCCTTTTATCATACCCTTTTATCATACCCCCTTTTATCATACCCCCTTTTATCATACCCCCTTTTATCATACCCCCCTTTCAGCAAAATCTTTTAAAGCACAACCCTTTCAGCATACCACCTCTCAGCATATGGTTTAGTTTAACCCTTCACCCTTTCAGAATACTCCTTTAGCATACCTCTTCACCACAACCCTTCAGCATACCTCTTCACCACAACCCTTCAGCATACCTCTTCACCACAACCCTTCAGGATACCTCTTCACCACAACCCTTCAGCATACTCTTCACCACAACCCTTCAGGATACCTCTTCACCACAACCCTTCAGCATACCTCTTCACCACAACCCTTCAGCATACCTCTTCACCACAACCCTTCAGCATACCTCTTCACCACAACCCTTCAGCATACCTCTTCACCACAACCCTTCAGCATACCTCTTCACCACAACCCTTCAGCATACCTCTTCACCACAACCCTTCAGCATAACCTTTCACCATAATCCATCAACATTCCCTTCAGCATACTTTTCAGCCTCACCCTTCAGCATAACCCTACAAAATACCCTTCAGTGTAACCATTCAGCATATCTCAAGAATAACCCTTCAACATATTTAATAACCATATTCCATAACTGTCTCCCAGTATAATCCTTCAGCATATCTCTCCAGTATAATCCTTTAGCATAGCCCTTCAGACTGTGTTCTTCTCAGAGACTATGTTCTCGCAGACTGTTCTTAGAGACTATGTTCTCGCAGACTGCTCTTCTCAGAGACTATGTTCTCGCAGACTGCTCTTCTCAGAGACTATGTTCTCGCAGACTGCTCTTCTCAGAGACTATGTTCTCGCAGACTGTTCTTCTCAGAGACTATGTTCTCGCAGACGTTTCTTCTCAGAGACTATGTTCTCGCAGACTGTTCTTCTCAGAGACTATGTTCTCGCAGACTGTTCTTAGAGACTATGTTCTCGCAGACTGTTCTTTTCAGAGACTATGTTCTCGCAGACTGCTCTTCTCAGAGACTATGTTCTCGCAGACTGCTCTTCTCAGAGACTATGTTCTCGCAGACTGTTCTTCTCAGAGACTATGTTCTCAGAGACTACCGTTGTTCACAAGTCTCTCCAGTAATTGCTACAGATAACGACCGCTCGTTATATCAGATATCTTTTACGATAATTTTAAGATCTTTAGCGAATATTTCCGATATCTCTAAGATATCTCTGATATTTCAAAGATATATCCCGAATGTATCTTTAAGGTATCTCTAGTAATCCGTGAGATATCTCTAAGATATCTGTGATATATCTCTACGGTAGCATCTGCCATATGAGTCATGTAACCCAAATTAAAAAAAAATAATTTAACTCCATTTTTACAAAAATAATTTAGGCCTATTTTGTAGAACCTAAAGTAAGGTAAAGATTGTGTTGAGGAGACACTGAAGAATTAGTGAAAATTTTATACGTAATTCTAATGGAATTTTAAAAGTTTTAGTGGTTTATATATTAATAAAACTCAAGTTTGAGTTCGTTTTGTTTACATTTGTTTTATTTATTGTGTGTGTGTGTGTGTGTGTGTGTGTGTGTGTGTGTGTGTGTGTGTGTGTGTGTGTGTGTGTGTGTTTGTGTAAATATTTGTGTCTCAAGGTGGACTCTATCAAGTCAATAGTCTTGATAATTCCCTAGAGTGGGCGAAACATCGTCCCGGTAACTGCGTGTTCTACATAGGTCTCGTGCTCCATCTTTTCGCATTTGATATTTAAATATATATTTTCAACTCAGTCTGAACTGAATATTTGTCTTGTGTCCGTTTTCTCATTATTTATGTCCTTTAATCTTCTTTGCTTCTTCCAAAAGTCTTATTCATCAGGATCTACCTTATTCTTGTAAATTTGCATGTGTGTTCACCTTCTTTCAGCTCCTGTAAAGACGTCGTTGCTGAAGCTTCAGTTGCCTCTATGTAACATACTTGGCTTTGTTCCTAGTTCAGTTTAAGGGTATGAACGCTTCTCACAACCAATGACAATAAATACTTTTAGTCACTAGGTGTGTGTGTGTGTGTGTGTGTGTGTGTGTGTGTGTGTGTGTGTGTGTGTGTGTGTGTCCATGTGCGTGTGTTTCACGTGTACATACTACTCGTGTACATAAAATTTATGTTGTCTGATTCAATAAAAAATCTTTCTACAAATCTTTTTGTTTTTCACTCTCCTAAACGAACATTTATGAGGGCAAAACCTAGAATTAAAATCTAATGATATAGATGCACTTATGTTGATTATACACAGTAATTAAAGCAATGTCTACAACAAAAAATAACTTAAACTGAATAGGAAATTAAAAACAGGTGTTTGTATAATTATATTTTTGATGTGTATACACTGAGTAGCAGTGAGTTTATCTTAATGTGTATACACTGAGAGCAGGTATGTATGCACAGAACAGCAGTACCCGGGGGTATGGGGAAACACGGCTTAGCTTCGGCTAAGCGCCCATACTTATCACAGGTCTAGTCTCGTGGTACAGTACCGTGGACTCTGATAAAGAGTTAGCAGGTTCGAGTCCTGCTGTGGACGTAGAGACAATGAAAAATAATTAAGCCTGTTTCCGAATTGTTAAGCATATATATATATATATATATATATATAATATATATATATATATATATATATATATATATATATATATATATATGTCGTGCCGAATAGGCAGAACTTGCGATCTTGGCTT